AAAGTATAGTTTAAAAATGTCACACAAACACTTTCAAGTATCTGCCCTTTTCTCAGTGTTTATGCTGCTCCTTTGGGTCCTAAGGTTGTCAGCACCTCTCCTCCTCAAAAAGAAGGGAAATGGGTGGTTTAGTGAGTTGTTGGCCTCCTGAATTTGTCTCTAGAAGGACTGTAATGTTGGTGGGTTCTTCTTCCTCACTCTCAGTTCCGCTTGAGGCTAATTTAGTACATATTCTAACTTTTGTTTTTTCCTTCTTCTTTGTTCGTTGATTGACAACTTAACTTTTAATCTGTATTTATTACTTTTTTTTTAATATGTTAGTACGTTCTGTGTTCTTCTGAACTTATTTTCTCTTAGTTAGCCTTAAAATCTTTTCGTCCAACTCCCCAGCCAGTTGTTTTTTGGGTTTTTTTTTAATGACCATTGCTAAGTTGCTTATAGGCATGCAGTCTTCATTATCCCTTTTCTATAGTCTTGTAAACCACATTATTATGTTAAAGTCATAAATATTTCATTCTACACAGAATAATTACTTTTTACTGTATGTGTAAGAACTTTGATTATACCATAATATTATGCAAATATAAACAAATATAAGGGATATAAGGAGAACTGTAAAAAATTAGGCAATAGTCACCTGATCATTAGAAAAATTGCTGCAGTTAAAGAAGCTAAATCAAAACTCCAGGCAGGCAAAGAAAGTTCAGACAAAGCCTGAGAAATTAATCTTGAGGCTTTGCAGAGGTGGTACAGCTTGTTACTAGCAATGGCAATACCAGCTTACAGGACTACAATAACAGCTGAACAAACATTCTTGCATTGGTTTTTGTCTCTTTGTCTTTGTCTTATTATTACTTCTAATTAGCAAATTGACTAGTTAGGAAGTCTAGCTTTAGAAAAGGTTGTAAAGGCTTGTGGTTTTTGCTTCCTCATTGCAGTTTTTCAGGTTATATTCAGTGGTGCTGTACTTTATTGTTTTAATATTATTACAGAATTTGAAGTCTTGGCTGCTTAAGCTAGAGCAAAATCACTAAAGTTTCAAGGAAAAAAGAAGGAAAGAGAAGTCTGTGGGGAATGCACCTAATGTAAGGTGAACTCACAACTAGGAGCAGTAGTACCTGAATTTAGCAAGCTGGGTAGAATTTACATATCCTAAGAAAGTTGAGAATAGCCTTGTTAGGGTTGCATCCTTATCTGGACTTTTCCTTTTCTTGAAATCAGAACTGAAGACTTGGATTTCCATAGAAATTTTGGTGTGCACCCCTGCATGCTACATCCATAGCGGATTCTTGCACAGTCTAAATGATACTTTTACCACTGTGATCTGGGATTAGAAAAGGCATCATGGTAAGAGACAGTGAAGGTGTCAAATGGCAAACAGTCAAGAAGAGGTGGGGAGTACAGTCTGTAAATCAATGAGTATTTTAAAATGACATATTTTGGAACCAGGCAAAGCAAGAGTAATATAAGTCTCTATACTAATAAAGGTGCATTTATCCCAACCTGTTAGGATGGAATGAGCAAGATAGATAGTTGTAAATACCACTGCAGATAGCACTATCAAGCTTAGGCTTATCTTTCCTTAATACAGTGCCAAAACTAATCAGTCTCCATACAGCTAACATACTAACAATGAGCAGACTCTGAGGGAATATGCTTTTATCACAGTAACAGTGTCAAAACAGTATTATTCATTCAAAACTTATTTTGCAGATAAAATTGCTATGTCAACAGAATGACTTCTCAGATGTTCAATTAAATATTTAAAATTTTAAAAAAATTAGAGTTAATGCCTAAACAGCTTAGGTTAGGGAGAATAATATGGATTCAATTCAACATAGCGTCTGTTATTGCTACAGCAAGAATAATAAATAGAACATAATATAGAAATAAGATCAACTATTTAGATTGCTGACATCTCTTACTCATGTCAGTAAATGAAGTATGTTCCTCAAAGAATTTGTGCCTGTAAAGTACTGATTTTTCTTATAGTTAAGATTGTGTTTCAAGGGGCTAAACTTATTTTCTTAAGTAAAGAGAGTAAATAATGTCTGTAAGCGAATTGGTTAGACTCTTTTTAAATAGATTATTTCAGCATTTCACTTTTGCAACAGAAAGTGTAGCCTCTCCGTTCACCCTTTGTCCCTATCTAACCTTGATGAGGGTAAACCCATTAACAAGGGCAGGTTATTCTCTGCAAACAATTCTGTTCTTCCTCAGTGAAATTCATGGCTGCTGTGGTAACTACAGAATAATAATAGGCAATGGACAAAGTTATTGAGGTTGTTTGCAGAAGTCAAACATCAAGGTGCTTTTGAAGTGAGCCTTTAAGTTATTATAAAAGAAGCCCTATAGCATCAGTGTTATTTGCTATTTAGCAAAGACTTCTATCACCCAACAATACCTGTTTTTTCCTTTTCAACACTAGTCATGTTGTTCTGTAAATCAGGTTTATAGGAAGGATATTTCTTTATTAGTTTCAAGTCAGATGATGGTCAGTAGAAGTAATCCTCTGGGCAAAATTATTCCCAACCTTAGCTTCAAACAAGTTTTGATTCATTTATTATATTCTCAGTCTGCATGCAGACCTCCTACTGACATCACTAACAAGCAATGCACTAAGAAAAACACAGAGCTTTGAAAATGGGATGTTATTTGTGTTTGAGAAGAGTATTTTAACATTTTTCTCTGTACTAATGCTGTCACATTTTATATGCAGTGGTGGGGTTTGCTGTGGTTTTATGTTTTGGCACCAGCCTGTAATGTGTATGCCATCATGCTGTATACTCAGGGAACAAATCCCCGTGGCAATTCTACATTTGCAGACCCCTTTATGGGATAATTAAGATAAAAGATATTATGAATTCCATAAATAGCCAACAAACTAAACAGAAGTATGTCAAGACTTAAAAAAAATGTAGCTAAATTCTACCAAAATGGAGTTGTCACTTACAGCCTGTCCTTTGCTTAAATGTAGGAAAAAATTTGCAATGGATCAGGGAAACAAGCGATCCCTGCAAGCGATCAAGGAAGTGAAATATGATGCTTAGACTGCAATTTCAGGGATCTACTTCAGATTCTTTTAGATATTGTGGGTTATTAAGCAACCAAATTATATTCAAGTAATTCAGCACCTGCTTCATCAAGGTACAGAATACGGAATTAGATATAGACCACTTCAGCTTCAGTGATTTGATTATGTAGTAGAGAGAGACTAGTGAATATACATTAATCCTATGAAATCAAATCAAGAAAATTAGCTGAAGATATTCCTAGGGGCCTATTTGGTGTCTATTTGCATAAAATGCAGAATTACCTGCTTACTGAAATAACTTTTTTTTTTTTGTGATGAGTAATGGAACTGAAGAACAGAGTTTACATAAAAATTTAAGCAGGAGTAGACGGGTTCAAACCAAAAATCCATTTAAGTCCTGTCTCTGACAACAGCCAATACCAGATCATTAGAGCATAAGAACAAAACAAGTATATAAGTTTTCCCTCAGTGTTTCCTGATGCAGAGTATAGAAACTACACTGTTCCTTTGTTTATGTTCAATTATGTGTAATGGACTTTGCTTTTATTATTATTTTCTGAACCAGTTTGTTATTCTTTTCTGGTGTCTTCAGTGTCCTGTATAATGTATGCAAGTATGATGTAATCGTGCATATTCTGAAGAATCATTTTCTTTTTGTTGGCTTTAAAGTTTTTTTAAGATGATGTCATCTGATGTTTCCTCATTCTTATGAGAAATGATGACATAATAGGCAAATAAAGCCTATGTATTCTTTATCCATCCTGTTTGTAATTTTATAGACTTCTGACCCTGTTGTCTCTTTAGAAGTCTAAGTTATTTCATCTTTTCCCATATAGAGACATTTTAGTATTTCTAACCATATTTTTGTCCCGGTTGCAACTTTTTTATTGGTATTGGATACTTTATATTGGTGGGAAGCTTATACCTTGCTATCGTCTCCAGAAGTCTAAACAAATAATTTAAGATGCAGCAGTCTATCCTGCAGGTTTTCAAATGAAGTGAGATTAACTGCATACCAAATTACTTAATTTCAGTGTTATGTACGGACATTGAAGGCCTGTCTTATTATCTCAGTCTGAAAATGTGTTCTAGTCTCAGTTATTCTTAGTCTAGCCATTTCATACCATACTGGGAAAAAAGCCTTGTTTGTAATTTTCTTAAGATTTTCTAAGCAATTCAGTTATCTAAACTATGCCACCTAGAAGTGTTTCATTTGTAAGGAATATCAGTATTGACTTTTATTTTGATTTATTGAAGTAAAACATTAATAAAGTAAAATTATTGAAGTAAAACCAAGCAATAATAAATAATAAGATGCTAAAACATGTTTACAAAACATATGAATGAACTGTAAGTAGTCATAGATCTTCAAGAATGTGTGTTTCAAATAATTCTATCAGAAATACATTTTCATCCTCAGGCAAATATTTATGATTCACAGTAATTTCCATTTCTGGTTGGAGAAAAAATGGAATTTTGAAGGACAATGACAAATAGAAATCACAGCAAGTTTCAAAAGGCAACTATCCTGGTGTGGTTAGTGTACATAGCTCAAATCCAAGATACAGCTTGTGTTTAACTTATTCATAATAGAACTTGAACCTTGTTCTGCTGTACCCAGAATAACTAATAACCAAAAGCTTTTGGTGGATTAGAGAATGTCTCACCTGCTTTATGTTTTTTTGTGAATCTGAAAAAACATTCCTAGTTCACGTTTGTTACAGGCAGTGCATTTCAGCAAGCTGTTTGAGTTCCACTAAATGTTCTAACAAAAAAAAAAAGAAATTGTCACTGAAGCAGTTTTTCTTTTCCTCTCATTACATGCATGAGACACTCCTCATGCATGCAAACTTCTCTGCTTTATATTCTCTCGTTGCTGTTACAAATCATCACGTACTTTGTATTTTCCACATTTTATTTTATTTGCAGCATTTAACAATCTCTCGGGTTTATATTTTGGTTATAGGTTTCCCTTGGACTTTTGCATGCTCGAGCTACTCATATCCTCTGGCCTCCACAACGCTGGCAGAAGTTACAGCCAATGCTACCTCCGGAGCGCAAACCACTCCAGAGAGAGCAAGAGTGATCTGCGTGTTCAGATGGAAAAACACTGAAGTGAAGCTTAACCATGAGTTAAGAGTTGCAGTGGTTATACCATCACCTGTAAGAGCTTTGCCAAGTGTGCTTTAACATCAGGTACATCAGCAAATACATGCGACATCTTCATGTTAAAATGCCACTTTAAGCGTAAAGGTTTTTTGGGTTTTTTGTTTGTTTTCTTGTTTGTTGGTTGGTTGTTTTTTTTTTAAATCTCAAACGGCAGCACATTGTGCATTATTTTGGTTTGAAATAATTGGTTGTATAAGGTTTGAATGTTCAATTTTTCTGGGAGCAGTAAAATGCTTGACTTGTTATGTCTGTACCTGTGCTTGCCTGGATAAGAAATTATTAAAACCTTCAATAAAGTGTTTTAATCTTTTACATTCACCTTGTTTCTTTAGTAACTAAATGGAACCTTTATTATTATCATTGACTGCATATGAAAAAAAGAAACAAACACATAATATGCTTTGGATTGTCCTATAATTCCTAATACTGAAGAATCAGTACTTCTGTAGCTGAAAAGTTAATAATATATGTCATAATTTTTTTCAAAAAGCTAATGAGATTTTTTTTCTTTTAATGCAGCTTGTGTTTATTATTAAACTGAGTACATATTACTTATTTTTAATTTCTCTTTCAGGAGTGTTTTATATAAACATTCCTTGTATGTCTTGCTGAAGTAGATATTCAGTCAAAGTATGCAAATTATATTGCAGTGTATGAAGGCAATGTTTCTTTCATTTCTCAAGTATAGTAAGTCATTGTTAGTATTGATTGCCACATTTCTTTCAAAGTATGTAATTAGATTATCAACAGTATACAATTAATACTATAAATATATAATTCCTATTATAAATAGACTGTGAATATGAAATAAAGCTTCTGCACACACTGTAAGAAAAAAGAACTCGAAAAATGACACATTTCAGCTGCAGATTAATATGAGCCAGCTTATTTTCATATTTATTGAATTTTACTTCAGATAGAATAGTACTTTAAAAATTTAACAGATCACACAAAAGATCTTTAAACATGTCAGCTAAAATCATGCAATTATCAGAACTTCAGGCAAGATGAAAATAAGTCTATAGATCTTTGAAGACACACATCTGTGTATCAGATGATAGGTTCAATCACCATGAAAACTCTCTATTACCATCTAACCTTCTTAAATGCTTCAGCTCTGTAGACTCTCTGAACACTTTACTGTCTCTGTGTGTCATGATCTTTCCTTGTTCCAAAAAGCTGTTGCATAGGTTTCTGAACTCCACTGAGTTAAAACTAATGCAGTTTGTCTGGGTGTTAATTGCAGTAAATTCACAATTATTTTGATTGGCATATGGTGATTGAAAACAGTATTTTGCAATCTTTTTTCTTCAAATTAATTAAGAAAACTGAAATGACTTCAAGAAATTTACTGCAGTCATAATTAATTTTGGTGACAAAGATACAAATACACATCCATGAAAGGATAAAGAAAGAGACAAACATAAAAGTAGTGGAAAAAAAACCCCAGATTAGATATCTTTAATTTTTTCGGTTGTTCATGTCTTCATTTCGCTTCTTTTCGCTAGTTCAGTCCCTCCCTCCTCCTTCTCTTGAATATCAACTGGGCAGAATTTCTTACATATATTAACAAGCTGGAAAATTTAGTTGGCTCTTTTGATTCGCAAAACCAGTGCCAGAGAGTCATTAACAAAACAAAGGCATTTGTTCCTCAGTTATTATCTCGATTATGTTTTTCTATTCATGTTGTCTAAAGATACAGCCAAATGTGTCTGCATTTCCATTTCCAAAAAGATCCTTTGAAGTTCCTTAGGATTGCAGACCTTATTTTCCCATGGAGAAGGAGGATCCAGATATGTGAGAATAAAATTACAGATGAGGTAGAACCAAGGGCTGCATGCAAGCTCCTAGGGGGTGCCAGACCTTGCAGCCCAACAGAGGCAAGGCTGCTGCAGCTCCATGTCCCCAGGTCCATCCAACAGCAAGGCCAAGCATGCATTTTCCCTGGGTGCACACGTGCACGCACAGTATGTTACATCCATATACATGTGACTGGCCACAAACATCAACATAGATGAACCCACTTGGTACTCACATAACCTCTAATGGCACCAGTGACCTCATCCTGTTCCTCTCGCTGGCTGATCAGGATGAAAATACGAAAGTGGGAAATATATACAAATATGTACAGGACCACAAAAATGATCAAAGGGCTGGAACACCTCTCCTATGAGGACAAGCTGACAGAGTTGGGGTTATTCAGCCTGCAGAAGAGAAGGCTCCAAGGAGACCTTATTGCGGTCCTTCAGTACTTAAAGGGGGCTTATAAGAAAGGTGGGAATGAATGTTTTAGCAGAGCCTGTTGTAATAGGACAAGTGGTAATGATTTTAAACTGAAAAAGGGTAGATTTGGACTAGATAGAAGGAATAAATTTTTTTACAATGAACTTACTGGAACAGATTGCCCAGAGAGGTGGTAGGTGCCCCATCCCTGGAAACATTCAAGGTCAGGTTGGACCGGGCTCTGAGCAACCTGATCTAGTTGAAGATGTCCCTTGTCATTGCAGGGGAGGTTGGCCTAGATGACCTTTAAAAGTCCCTTCCAAGCCAAACTATTTGATGATTCTATGATATACAGTGTGGATGTCGCCAACATAGACACCCATTTTGCCCAGTATACAGAATCCTAGTCTCCCTATTTGCTGGCACCTGAACAAACAAGCTCTGAGACACCCTCCGGTGGATCCCTCCAGTAACTGGGCTTAGACACCCAGTCCATCCAGGTCCATCCAGTAGCTGGGCCCGGATCTTCACTCTCCCCATCCACACATGTACACACACAAATGGGTCTCCCAATCGAACTGCTGTCTCAGCAGCTGGCTGGGACCCCATGGTGCCTCTGTTAGCCAAAGCCATCTGTGGTCTCACCTCTGGGGAGACCCTCAAACCACCCTCCAGACCGTGTGCCCTGCTGGCCAGCTGGTCTGGCTTGGTGCTAGCAACTGTCATTCACTGACGGCGCACCCTCATTGCACCCCATACTGGCACCACAGACACAAGGGCCTCCCACCCCTCAACCACCCTAACCACTGGCACTTAGACCCTCCCCACGCATGCACACAGCCCAGGGAGCTCTGCAGCCAGGAAAATTGCTAGAAATGGAGTTTAATTGAAGATGAGACAGACTGCACTGATCAGGGTCAGGCATTGATAGACCAGCACCTGTTTATGTGCAATTGGCTCCTTTCATAGCCTTGACTCTCTCTATTTTTCTGCATTTGATTTTCCCTAAACCACCCTTGTTTCCCCGACTTTGCTCCCCTAGACATCCCACAACAAGTCTTGTGCAGTACTGAAATGCTCTTCCCCGCAACTTACAGCACACCCCATAACCCTGGGCAGTGTCACCAGTCTGGGGAGCTACCCAGAGAGCCTCCCCACTGACTTCTGGCATTGGCTATCCCCTGTGGGGTTGGTGCAGGAGCTCATGCCCCCTGTCGTTACTCTTCTGTGCTCCTTCATGGCTGTGAGGATGAGACCTTCACAATCTGCAGACTCCTATAATAGCTACAGAAGAGCTAAGTGATGGTATTATTTGGCTTCCCCCAGCTGCCATTGCTCCTCTGGGCTCCTTCATCTGTGTGGAGAACAGCTTTTTATCACACAACCTTATAAAAACTATGAAAGTTTAAATGTCCCAAATATTCAACCGTGATATGCCTCAAGAAATATTTATTCATCTATATTTGCATACATATATTTATAAATATTTATGAATTTATACTTGGCCATAGGATATACTTGATGGAATGATGGAATAGAGAATATGCCTATTAAGTTTGAAGATGTTACAATGGTTGTAAAGACTGTTGTCTTGTAAAGACCATTTTGAAGAATGGTATTAGACTGCAGTGAACTTAATTCAATAATGATGAGCAGAGAGTCTGGTGGAATAATTACCCATGCGCATGCTGGATTAAGTTAAAAGAAAATTTGGAGGTTGAAGTGGATTGTAGCTTAGCATGAGCAACAATATGCTGTTGTGAATAAGAAAAATGCCACACATTGTAAACAGCAGTACAAACAGAACACAGAAAACAATATTTCTGCTTCATTCATCTACAGTATGAATTTAGGCACCACATTCAGACAAACATATGAGGGACAACTGGAGTCTTTAGAGAGAAGCAACAACAAAAAAAGAGAAATCAGAAAAACATGATCTATGAGAAATGTTGGAAGAACTTGGGTTTACCATTTAGTCCAGAGAGTCTCATGCACAGTCTTCAAAATCATGAAAAGTTGCTGTGAAGTGAAAAAGAATCATTGGTTCTCCGAGTCCATCATGTACAGGAGGAGAACTAACAGACTTACAATGCCACAATAAGACTTTTAGGCTAGACATGGAGAAAGAAAAATTTAAATTTTAAAAATAATGAAACATTGGAATAGATTATTTTTCATTGCAAGGTTTTAACATTTTTTGTCAGGCCTGTTTGTACTTTGAGATAGGAGGATGGATTAACTAGACCTTGAGATCCACATCAGCTATTTTATACGTTCTCTGGCTAGGGATTCTGTGATTGGTAAACTTGGTGTTGCCTTTGATGCTGGGCAGACAGGCAGTTACATCAGTATCTACTTCCTTTAGACTTACAAGATTCATTATATGCAAGCCTAACAGTATTACAGTAGCCTTATGTACCACTTGCTTGTAATAAGCATCTACGGAAGCTGATTCCTGTAAAAGAAGCTATTTTGCTACATATTGGCATCAGATTAATGTGTGTGACATTTTACATCATCACATAGCTTAGCGAATGGAAATAGCTCAATGAGATCATAAGCATTTGAGTAAGATAACGTAACGGATCATCCAGAATGCAGAGCATGATAAGCAAACCCATATTGCCAAAGCAGAAAGGACCAAGCAGCAGCAGTAACACACAACCACATATTTAAAGCTGTTATTATTTTGTTGATAGAATAATATATTTGATTTTCAGCCTTCAGATGTGAAACACATAATGAGAAGCCTGTTCTGGCTGTAATGAAATCAGCGGCAAAATTCTCAGGGACTCAAGCCGTCATGATTAGCTTTCTAAGTCAGCACCTTCCTCTCCAACCACCGGCCTGCTGGTGTT